ACTTAATTTTGGACTTTTATAAAAAATATCCAAACAAACCCAGGTAAACTTGTTGGACTCTATGGACTGTTTGGAAACATTTCCCTAAATCATTAGCTGAATGGGTCTCCAAAAGACATGTTAAGGCTCCTGACTTAATTTTGGACTTTTATAAAAAATATCCAAACAAACCCAGGTAAACTTGTTGGACTCTATGGACTGTATATCTTCATAATTCCAATTCTTCTATTTATTATTTTCCAGGTTTCCAGACCATCGTGGTGAAGAGGAGTGTTTTTTTTGCGGGGGCAGTATGTCAGAACCTGCATCACCCAACTATTGTTATTTTACATTGTATTGCATTCGATGGGAGTTGGATTGATTTGTTTCTGTGAATTGTAACTACGAGGGGGGGGGTGTTGCAGTTTAAGATTGTAATAGGAATAGTAACGGGAGGTGGGATGGAGCTTAACCATATATGGGCAATTTAGGCTGGCCTGATTGCAGGCAAGGCAGCTGGGCCCGAAAGAGCCAGGAAGGAACTCGGGTAGGAGGGGGAGGAAGGAAAGAGGTCAACACCAGGTGAAGAGGAATCGAGACGCCAGGCAATTAGGGGAGGGGGGATAAATAGAGGGAAGTTTATCCAAGGCTTTAGTTTTAGCAATGTTTTGTTTGCAAGCTACATGTACCACTTAATAAAGAAGTATTTTTCTGAACGAAGCCTGGTTGTGTGAGAATGCTTCTGAACTGGGTTTTGGACACGGTGGACTTGACAAGATGTATATACAACCCCCACTTTGTTGAAGGCAGTTTAATTCCAATGAGCCTTTTGGCCCCAGTTCATTAATTGTGGGCACCTATTTTGAGTTTATATTTGTTTTGCGATGTTTTTAATTGCGGGATTTTTTTTCTTTTTCTTTTTGCTTATATTTGTTGCTATACCCCATCTACGGCACCCCAGGACTTGAGTGAGTAATAAGTACCATTAAATAAATCAATAAATAGTTTATGGTAACAGTCATACAAAAACCTCTGGTTTATAGGCTGCTTAGCTTTCAGATTACTTTTAGTTATTCAAGGGAATATATTATGCACAGCGCTCCTCTAAAAAGGCTAGGAGAGAACTCAGAAATCACTGCATCCACCATGAGTAATTCTTGACTGACAGATAAGAGGTATCCAGAGAAAGCGTGAGCGGTTGGATGGGGATGCTGGGACAGTAACAAAAAGAATGTTAGAGATCAACAGCCAAGCGATCAGAGGGGAGTCAGTTGGTAGCTCATCTCAGAAATACCAGCTCAGTCCAGGGTACAAAATGCCCAGGAAGAAAAGACTGAATATCCAAAAAAATTCTGTGTTAATGAACTCATTAATAAATTCTTCTCACAGTTTCCAAGGTTCTGTATTTACTCCACATCTTAGCATTAGGAGTAGCTGCTCCTTGTGAGTAGAACGCAGGGATCAACGTTTTGTGGTCCGCTTATGAGTTGAGCGGCTGGGAGTCAAGGGAGGAACCATCTTTGCTCACAGTTGTCAACACAGCCTTTTTTAAGGACATAAAGCTTGACCAAGCCTCAATTTTAATCACTTTGGATTTCTTCTTCTTTTTTTTACTACCTTGGAAATATTAAGAACCTTCAGAATGGCAAGTTATACAGTATTCACTGGGTGAGTCACCTTCTCCTTGGAGAAATAATTTTTAAGTAAGATTTTAAAGGTTTGGAAAAATATTGTTTTTTGGATTAAACAACAAAAGGATGCTTGGAGTATAGATTTTGGAAAGTTAACAATGGATTAAGGGCCCAGATGGATTTGGAATTACAATTTTGAAATAATTAGAAGAATTCTCCCCCTGATTTCAAGTTAAGGAGAAGAATCTGGATCGGGAGGCCCTTCTCTCAGTCACTCATGCCCTGGTCATCTCCCTTATGGATGATTGCAATGCACTCTACAAGGGGCTACCCTTGAAAAGTATTCGAAAGCTGCAGCTGGTGCAGAATGCGGCAGCACAGGCAGTTATGGGCACCTCTAGGACTGCGCATACAACCCCTCTGCTGCGCAAGCTGCACTGGGTGCCGATCTGCTTCCAGGTCCAATTCAAGAAGTTGGTTATGACCTTTAAAGCCCTTCCTGGCATGGGCCCAGGTTACCTGAGGAACCGTCTCATCCCCATCACATCAGCCCATCCCACCCGGTCTGGCAGGAAGGGTATGTTACAGACCCCACCGCCGAGACAGTTCCGACTGGCAGGGCCCAGGAGGAGAGCCTTTTCCGCCGTGGCTCCAGCCCTCTGGAACACCTTGCCCCCTGAGGTGAGATTGGCCCCCACTCTGTTGGCCTTCCGAAAAGGCGTCAAGACCTGGCTCTGCCAGCTTGCATGGGGACCCAATGGGGGTTCACAGCACCAGGGATGGCTGGTAGCCAGAGCATGCTCTGCCTTTTTAGTTTGAACCATAGTTTTAACTTAGTTTTAATTTTAACCTTTTGTAATTTTTAACTTGTATATTTTTTTTCTAAGATTTTATCGTTTTTTACTTGTAATGCTGCCTAGAGTCACTTGTACAGTGAGATGGGCGGCATATATAAATTTGGAAAATAAATAAATAAAATAAATAAATCCTTCCTGTGATTGTTTGGGTTGACTATTTGAGTTTCTTTTAGAGAAAACATGTTAATGGGACTTCGAGGATTTGACATTAGAGGAAGCTAGAGGATAATAAATCTGTCTTGTCAATAAAGAATGGAGCAACAAACTCTGATAGATATTTTTGAATGCTGGTCTTCGAAATTACTTGACGTGATAGACAGAGGGTGTGTTAATGAAGTTACAGAAGGAGAACAAGCTACCCCAGGTAAGTGTGAAACTAATCTGAATGTGGATTTAAACGTGGCAAGCAATGAGAAGGATATGGAGAAAGATGTAGTAGATATACAAACAAAACTGGTTCATGTTTCACTGCTTAAAGAAGATGTACAATTATTAAATCAGAAAACTGATTTGTATAACTTTCTCTTACCGGATATACAAAAGAGTTCTGTTAAAGCTTTGCAAGATTGTTGGGACAAAAAAAAAGATGAACAGAAATCAAGCTCTGGGTCTTTATCTGAAGGGGTTAAAAATTAAGATTGTTAAAAGCACAGGGAAGGAATACAGGGGTGGCCCATTCGATCAAGGTTAACAGATAATTAATTATGTCTGGTATCCCTTACTGGAATTTCGTTGATAAGGAACGAATGACAAGGCTTTTGGATCTTGTCTTTAGTCAAGAGATGAGTTATGGGGTGAAGAGAATATATGTTGTATTAAGAGATTGTGATAAGCTACTAAAATTGTTTATACTTGCTGGGATGAAGGGGAAAGCTACTTCTCTCCTCTCCTTTTTTCATTTTTTTTTGGACACTATTTTTATATTTTTTGTAGATTATTAGTTTTTATTCTTTCTATTTGTAATCTTTAATAAAGTTATTTGGGAAAAAAAAGGAGCAACTTTGGATTTACTCAGAATATAGGTCAGTTCCAGTGGTTTAGTTTATGATGATGATGATGATGATACAGGTAGTCCCCAGTTTAAGAACAAGTTCCATTCCCAAGATCTGTCCTTAAGTCGAATTTGTACGTAAGCCGGATTATTATTTTTGTATAATACTGTATAAGTAGCATTGTGTAATTAATTCGAACCATTGTGTATTTAACTTGAATCACTGTGTATTTAACTCAAATTTTGCTATAGTAGGCTCCGTTCTTAACCATGGTTCATCTATAAATCTGGCGTTTTTAGCCCAGGGACTACCTATAATTTATTAAATACATATGCCTCCTGACTCCCAGAGACTCTGGGCAGTTTAATTTAAATGAATTCAAGTTTCCAGGGCCAGATGTATTACTTTTTAAGGTGCTGTAGGAATAGCTGAAGTGACTGCAGAAATACTAATCGTAATCTTAGACCTCCTGGAACATTAGTGAAATTGGGCTCTTGATGTTCCCTGAGCTTGGCATTTTCCTTACAGATGTTTCATTACTTTGCTTGGTAACAGAATCGATTTATTAGCATCATTGTATTAATATGGAGTCTGGTGGCTGTTTATTTACAGAAGGTTTTCTTACCAGCTTTTGCTTTTGTTTGTTCACTGATTGTTGCTGCTGATCTGTGGTGGTTCCTGCTTCTCTGGATGTTGATTATTAGGTGGGAGAAGAGTGTAAGGTAATTTGAAAATCATTTGTCTATATGTTTGCTGATGGCTAAATTTATCAGAGTGCCAGGCTTTGAGGAAATCTCTCGCCTTCTTAGACTTGGCTTAGTCAAAAATATGTCGAGTTTCCTAAACTATGAAACTATGGTTGAACTGTGTGTTGTGAAATTACAAAATCTTCCTCTTGTCTTTTGACTGCCAACTGATGTTCATGGATGTGTTCTGCCAGTCCTTTACCTGTCTGTCCTACATAGTTATTTTCACAATCTTTGCATTTAACTAGGATTTGTTAAAAAGTAATGCCTTCACCTCCATACCTTTGGTTTAAACAGGGACATTTAAATAAACAAAACAGAAAAATAATCCTTGAAATAGATTTGTTGTCTGTATTATATCCTATTGTCACCACTACATCACTTTGTCCCACCTTGGATATCCAGATGAGTCGCCATGAGAAGCAATGCCCAATGGAGAGAAGCTGAGGTTGTATCTGTCCCAGCAATAAAGAGGTCAACAATGCACTGAGCCATGTTGTCTTCATCATAGGTAGAATTGGGATCATCCTTGCTCTAGAATTAACAGTAAGAAGGGTGAAATAGCATTGTTACCAATACTTCCCCAACCTAATGCCTCCCTATTCTACTCCATGGGCCATCTTGTCTGGGGAAAAGAGGACTGTAGCTCAAACCATCAGGATGGCATAAGATTGGGGAGGATGAACATAAACTTGGGACAAGTTCAATATTAAGAACTTTAATAGAAGAAAATATTAGGAGCAATTGGAACACCATTGTTGAGCTTTCCCCTGCCTGGTGAACTAACAAAGCTGTGCAAAATGGCTCTGGACGCATGATAATTAGAGGGGGAAAAATGTTTCCAGCTCTTTCACTCTTCCATGTGGATACTGTAATCTTGCAGGGTGAAAGACATCTAGCTTTGCCTTGTATTGGACTACCAGCCTAATCATCAGAAATGAAAAGGAATTCCAGAAAGATGGAATTCCACCCCTTAAACCCCATATCCAAGTTTACAAAACACAATTTCTCCTATCACACAACATGCTAACTCCAAACAAATACACTACATTATGACTTAAGACACTATAGTCTTATTCACACTATATATATTAAGGCAATAGTTGGATGTCGTGGACCACCACAAACTTTCCAACATCATTTGGGGGTAATTTAGTGTGTTAAATATCATATCTTTTAACCATATCTGTCCAACAGACAGCACCACACATGGTCTTGGTCACTCTGACATCCTGCCTGTCTTTTCTCCTGACAGTGACATAGTCCATGAGATGCCAATGCTTACAGCGGGGGTGCATCCAGGAGGTCTTTTTTATGGGTAGGCAGGTGGAAAGTTATTCTGGTGATGAGGAGGTCACGTGCTGCACAGGTCTTCAGTAAGAGTAGACCATTACTGTTATACTTGCCCACTCGTCTCCCAATGACTCCCTGCCAGGCTGCAGAATCACACCCTACTCTTACTGCCAAGTTCTGCTCACTGCTGATAGTAGGGTATCTAGTTTTTCATAGGACCCATCTTTCATTTCGTCGAGGTTGGTCATGGGGTGGCATGGGCACTGATCAGGGTGGCTTGACTTCTATTCTGCAGTGGAAGCTGCAGTGTCATGAGCTGGTCGTTCACACCCTTGGGGAGACTAACAAGTTTCCAAACAAGGTGACTCCTGATGGCAAATCCAATGCCAGCATCGTGACGCTCATCACTGCCATGACCGCTCCAGAAACAAAGTGTATCCACCTCCAATTTCAGTCAGCTGACCTTCGTTGGCAAGATGAGTCTCACTCAGGGCTGCAAGGTCAATGTTACATCTGTCAGGTTCGGTCAGCACGAGGCTTCAGGGAAGCACGGGGTTGCAGGGAAGCTCGCAACCAGACCACGCGGAATCCACCGGCGGTAGCTAGCGGGGAAAAGAGGAACCGAAAGCGCCGCTAATTAACGAGCCACCGGCGCCCAGCCAAACCGGAAAACCGCAGCGG